AGACTTATTGTATACTTTTTTTTAAAGGGACAGGTTTCTTTCTTAAAGCCAAAGAGGAAAAAGAAAGAAGCTAAAGTTTTTGTTTTGACCAATCGAAAGGGTCTTGTAACTTGACAGCTTTCAGACTTGCACACTTCAATGCCAGAGTTCCTGAGCCAACATGACTGGAGGAGGAATTATGGGAGTTGAAGTCCACAAGTCTTAAAGCTGTCAAGTTTGAACACTCCTGGGTTTTTTTTCCTTTAGCGGTGCAAGGGTCTTGTAACTTGACAGCTTTAAGACCTGCGTGCTTCCAATGCCAGAGTTTCTGAGCCAACATTTTGGTTGCTGAGCAAGAGTGTTGTTAAGTGAGTTTCACCACATTTCACAAGTTGGCCATGCCCACCCAGTCACATGGCTGGCAAGTCACTCCCACCCAGTCACATGGACAGCAAGCCACTCCCACAAAACAGGCCACACCTACAGAAGAGGTTCTAAACAGTTTTGAACCCCACTGGGCAGAGGGGAACCAGGCCGCCCAAGCGGTGGGTCAGCATGCATGTGCCTGAGCGGTTGAACTTGTGTACACCGGCCTGCTGTTCACATGGCTTGGTTCCAAATAGGCCACAGCCTGATAGTGGGTCATGCCCCAGAGGTTGGGGACCCCTGGCCTAAGGCATGGAGCCCTAAATAAATCTTTTCCTATTTACTTAACCTTGAGAAAACATCCTTCCTACATGTAATTGTGGACAACCAGGAGGCAAGAAAAAACAACTGGCTCAGAGGCAGGCTGGAGTTCCATCAGTAGTAAAAAAATGAAGGAAAAAAACCCACAAACAAAACAAAAATAATCCTCCTATGCGAGCTCAGAGAAAATATTGGATCTGGGTGCATTGAATGCTAAGAGAACTAGGTCCTATCTGATTGAGTGGGATGAATAAGTTCTTGGTACCAATAGTAACTCAACTAAGGCTGACCATTATGCGTTCTTTGAGTGACAGCATTCTTCGTACGTAAGAGTGTGGTGCCAGAAAACCTATAAGTGCCAGTGTGATGAGTTTTGGGAATCTGGCTGACATAAACTGTTGTAAAGGTCAGTTGAGCAAGAGTCCAGCTATTGCTGCATTGTGATAATCCCACAAAACTGGCATATATAACACCCAACTTGGAACCTGCCCCTACATACTATTGTCTGTTAGCGCTGTGGTATAATTAAGACCTTGATGACTATCTCTCTATCATACCATGGAATACATTCAGTGATATTCTGATACAAAGAAAGAAGCCATTTCAACTCCAGTGTATGCTTCCAGATTTTATCTTCAATATAAGCAAAATGCACATATAATTTCACGCAAGATCTCATTACTGTTCATGGTTCAAAAATGGGGGAGAAACCTCTAGAAACCTTGCAATGTCCAATGGTTCTGAAGGGCAGTTGATTGCTTCTTGCACTTTCCCACTCTTAAAACAACTAGAGATAAGTAGTTACTGTTAGGAATATAATCTAACGGTTGGGTTGGCAATATATAAATCATGTAACAATGCTATACACGTTTCTTAAAACATACTGTAAAATGTGATTGGTTGCTGTTTTCCTCAAACCGCCATAAGAGGGAGCCAGAATGACTGTTAGCTCTCTGTTCGTTAG